CACAGCTCACCATGAAGTCAGAAGAGATTGGCACAACGGAGCAGCAATGGGGTCAGGAGTGGTTCTGCAGCCTGACAACTGTGGCCAAAATAAGAGTTGATTACGGATGGGCGGAACTACAGAAGGAGCACACGTGAGCACAAAGTGATGGCTCTGAAACCGAGAACAAGAGAGCTATCCCAGAAGGTGGAAGCACAAGACAAAGATAGTTAAATAAGGAATGCGGGCTCAGGGGCCACGAACTCACCTAGAAGATGTTCCAGGGAAGATCAGAGAACACAGAGACGAGAAAGTGATTCAAAACAAGAAAGCAAAGACGTCCATCGAGCCAGACACCTGAGCAGGTTCAAAACTCTGGATGGAGAGAGAGCCCTAGAGGCTCCAGGGACAGAGAGAGGCTGTCCACACTGGGGCCAGAATCAGACGGGCATCAGGCCTTCACAGGCAAGACAGGACGCTAGGCAACAACGGAGTCATCCTTCCAAACTTCCGGTGAAAAGTAACTTCACACCTAGAATTCTATACACATCCTAACAAAATCATTAAAGTACTGACATTTAAAAAAAAAAGTGTCAAACTATAATTCTAAATCCAGTGAAAGAACATTTTTCAAAACCCAAAGCAAACCCACAACCCCTTTGAGTCGATTCTGACGCACAGGACCCTACAGGACAAGTAGGACTGCCCTATAGAGTTTCCAAGGCTGTAAATCATTACAGAAAAGAACAGCCTCATCTTTCTCCCATGGAGCGGTGGGTGGGTTCTCACTGCTGACCTTTCAGTGAGCAGCCAAGTGCTTTAGCCACTGCACCACCTATCTTTCAAACCCCAAAGCACACCAAACCTACTACCATTGAGTCAATTCCAACTCACATGGACCCCCATAGGATTTCCAAGGCTATAAATCTTTATAGAAGTAGACTGACTCATCTTCCCACAGAGAAGCTAGGTGGGTTTGAACCATCAGCCTTCCGGTTAGCAGCCGAATGCCTTAACCACTGTGCCACCACAGCTCTTTATCTTTCAAAAGTGAAGGTGATAAACAAAAGCTGAACGAATTCATCACTAGCAGATCAACACCCTGAGAAACGTGGGAAGAGAAAAGATGCAAGAGGTTGGAAGGAAGGAAGAGTTGCAAAGGAATAAGAACTCAGTGCCACTGAGTCGATTTCAACTCATAGCAACCCCCTTTGGGTTTCTGAGGAGGTAAATCTTTACATAAGTAGATCGCCCAGTCTTCCTTCTATGGAGTGGCTGGTGGGTTTGAACCACCAACCTTCTGATTAGCAGTCAGATGCCTTAGGCGCTATGATTTTGTCTCATTGTTAAAATCACCATACAATTTAACCGACTGCTCATGCAAAAACAGTTAACAGTGTAGTCAGGGCTCAGGACCTACGTGAAAGTAACATACATAAAAATACCAGACACACTGCCCAAAGAGAGAAAAGGAGGCATACTCATAAAGGTTCTTAGAAGTGGTAAGGAGCCCTGGCTGTGCAGTGGTTAAAGCGCTCGGCTGCGAACTGAAATGTCAGCAGTTCCAACTCACCAGCTGCTTCACAGGAGGAAGCTGTGGCAATGTGCTTCCTTCAAGATTATAACCTTGGGGATCTCACGGGGCCGTTCTACTCTGTCCTATAGGATTGCTATGAGTTGGAATGAACTTGACGGCAATAGGTTTTGGTTATGTGAAGTGGTATAAGATCACTTGAAGGAGGTATGATTAAAAATATATGTACTAGAAACCGTGAAGCTACCACTAAAATGACAGCTACAGCTAATAAGATAAGAGATTAGATCAAATTAAATCATAAAATATATTCAGTTAAT